GATCTGCCTCACCTGGGAAGAACGCAATGATGGTGCCAACTTGGGCCAGTGAAGCAACGTCCTCCACAACTAGACTGAAGAACAAAAGGACAGCAACTCGTCTGTTCCCCTTCCCCCAATTCCCCAGCACTGTTCCCTTCCCCCCAGTACCCCAATAAAAATCTTTAAAAAAAAAAAAAAAGAAAGGTAGCATTTGGAGCCGTTTTTCCTCTGAGAAGCACATGGACCCTGTGCCTCGCTCTGGCCAGGGCCTCATGAAACCCTGAGGCCCATTCATGGACCCCTAACTAAGACTCCTTTCGCACAAGTTGTATTTACCTGGTATTTTTTTCTCTGTAAGGAATAATTTGCTTTATAAAGTAGCTTAGACAGTATACCACGGTTCTCTGATAGGCATTGTACCTTTGGTTTAGAAAAACCGCTATGAAGGTTTGCTATTTTGTATTGTCACATAGCAACATGAGTTACCTGCCTGTGTTATAACTTGGTTGTCCTGGGGAATACTTTTATAGGATCCAAGGAGCTTCCAGATTTCTGCTGCTCTCAACAAAGTATTTTGTGTTACAGGTGAAATTCCAAGAGGATTTCGGTTTCATTGCCAGGCTGCGAGTAAGTATAAAGGAATGGGGTAGATTCCAGACATTGCATATGTGCGCCCTGGTTAAGACTCATTGCTTTAAACAAACACGTAATACACAAGTCGGAGGAAGAATAACCTGAAGTTAATTATTGGGGACTCTTCATAGAAGTGGTAGATGGTGTATATGATCCTGAAAAACGTTTAGAATTATATAGACTTAGAGGATAATATCCCTTTTTCTGTCTGGGCTTGTGAGGTTTTTTCCTGCATATATCTTTTGGCCTAAAGGTCAGCTGCTTTTCCTGGTCAATACTGAGGTAAGGCTTTTAAGGGGTATCATTTTAGTTATATATTTTTTTGCCGTTTGCAGGAATGTCCATTCAAAACTAAGAAAAAGATGCTTCAAAAATGACAGAATGATGGTGTTAAACAGACAAAAGAACTCTGAACTAATTTTTTAGACAAGTAAAACAGGTTTTTATTTTAAGTATTTTGCAACCAAAGGACATGACTGTGTATACCTAAGCTCTTGAACCGAACTCTTTTCTAGAAACTAGGTTTTAACCAGTTTCCTGTTTGATTGGAATGAAAATCATGCTTTATCTTTAAATTTCAAAAGAATCATTGTTTGATTAAAAGTATTTTTTTTTACTTAACAGTGTAGACAATAGGCTATTTGAAGTATTTGAAGTACTTCAAATTTGAAGTATTTGAAATTAGAAATAAGTTTTTCAAATCTGTCATAATCAAATATTTTGTAATACTTAAGATGCTGTTCTTTATAAATGAAGAAAATATTTTAGATTCATTTTTGGTTATGTCCTTTGACTTTTTCATAAACAATATGATGTGGACATCAAAAAACAAGCTGACCAATAGAACAGAATAAGATGTCAAGAAGACCTGTGTATGTGACACAAGTGGTACTACATATTGGAGAATAAGTTGATTAATAAGTGAGGCTGAGACAACTTATTACCCACATGGGGAAAAAGTTAAACTGAATCTCTACCTCACACCATATGCAAGTCAATTCCATGTGGAATAAGGACTTGGATATAAAAAAATAAAACTTCAGAAGAAAATAAAGAGTTATCTTCATGGCCTTTGTGCATTCATAGTAATGACTGTGATTGATCTCACCTAATGTTGTTGTTAAGCTAATTTTGTTCTAAGGAATGTGTTTTCAGTCTTTGACTTTATATTTGGTTCTTTTTTGTGGTTCTGCTGAAATGAATTTCATAATAAACCTGAACATAAGCCTTGTTATTTTAAAATCTTATATCTGATTACTGATCTGGGGATTTTCTTTTTGGGTCTGTTTTTATAGTCTGTTGGTTATCTTGACGTTCAATTAAGTTACCAGATTTCTTCATGTGTCTGGTTATTTTTAATTGAGTACTGAACAGTATGTTTGAAAACTTATTTCTCTCCAAAGAAGACAGATTTCTTCTGGCAGAAAGCTGGAGTCCCTAGCTATCTCAGATTGCCTTATTCCAGTCTCAGGATTAAATGGGTTCAGACGTGATGAGAGTCAGTCTGTTTCTAGCTGATCTTTACCAAAAAGGGGTAGGGGGGAGAAGGTGGACAGATTACCTACCATCAAAAGATCATCAGCAAAATTTATAATTGACTTCACAGCATAAACAATGGAAGCCAGAAGACAATTGAATACTTTTTATTACAAAGTTTTTATATACACAGTAGTACTGGAGTAATATTTTAAATTCTTACTAGCTCCTGGGTCTGTTGAAAACTGCTCAGTTTCTCAGCCTCTCAGCTCCCTCTTCCAGAATTGGTAATGCCCAAATTATCAGTGATCCCAAATGTCAGATTCAGCTCTCGAGAATTTCTTCCTTTCCAAGATTTTGGACCCATATTTCCTCACTGCATGTTTTTCTTTTCAGAGCTTTCAAGCAGGTGTTTCATTTGTTCAGCTTTTCCCTCGTCTGTCATTATCAGAACTTGTACTCTTCCTGTATCCTCATTTTATAGTTTCTGATTTCATGCTGACATTTATAATTCAACCTCCTCAAATAGAAGCATGATTGTTTAAAATCTTGTGTCCAGTAATTTCAGTATCTGGAATATTTTTGGATCTCTTCCTACCAACTTTGCTTTGGTTCTCATTCTTGGTTCTTTGTGTACCTGGTTATTCATAGAGAGTGTTGGAGAAAAATGATTTTAAAGTAATTTTAGGTTTATAATGGTGTTTCCTTCTTCCAGAGAGGATTTCTGTTTGCTTTTTCCAGACACCTGGGGGCCATGCACCCTTCTCAGCCAGCTAGCTTTGTCTGCTGGAATTACAACGTGACTCCAGGGGAAAACTGCCCCCAAGCGAGGCTCGTCTTTCTGGCTTCCTGTATCCGCGTGTATCTTGATCTAATAATTCCTTGCTATATGTGCTCTTGATATCCTCAAGCATTTTAAATTTTCGTGGGAAGGTTGGTTTGAATTATTTGGTCCATTATTTGCTGGAAGTGGAAGCCTTCATTACGCAACCTTTTAAGAAGCAGTCATTACTCTTCAGTTCTCCAGCCTTACTAATAAGACATTCATGGAAGGCAGCTGGGAATAGTGACAGCACTTTAGGCTCAGTCACTTAACAAACCTGGGTGTGAGTCCCGACTCTACTGTCTGCCAACTATTAACTCACTACTGTCATCCCTCCTCATCTGCGAGGATATGTTCCAAGACCCCCAGTGGACGCCTGAAACAGTGGATAGTACCAACCCTGTATATACTATACTATGTTTTTCCCTATACATACATAACTGCGATCAAGTTTAATTTATAAATTAGGTGCAGTAAGAGAGTAACAATACTAATAATAGGATAATTGTACTACAACAAAAGTTACATGGATATAGTCTCTCAAAATATCTCACTGCTCTGTACTTAGACCCTTCACAATTTTCCTTCCTGACAATGTCTGGGACAGAAGAGTCACCCTTACTGTAGCTCTTAGTGACTTCAGCGTATGGTTTTTTTCCTAAGTTGGGGATTTTACCTTTTCACTTGAAGTATCCAAGTTGCCAGCACCACTGCTCTTGTGCTCCGGGGTCATTTATAAGTAAGGTAAGGGTGACTTGAACACAAGTACTGTGATACTGCAACAGTTAGTGTGATACACTCGACTACTAGGTGACTAAGGGGCAGGTAATGTGTACAGCATGGAGACGTTGGACCAAGGGATGCTTCACGTCCCGGGTCGGACAGCGGGACATTGTGTGAGTTCCTGGCACTTCTCAGAATGGCACGCAGCTTAAAACTTAACGATTTATTTTGGCAGTTTTCCATTTCATGTTTTTGGACCACAGTTGACACGGGGAACTGAAGCCATGGAAAGCAAATGCAGATGGGGGTGGGGTGGGGGTACTGGACTAACTTCTGTGCTTCTCATTGTCTCTTCTCTAATATGTGTCTATCGCCTACCTCATGAGATGATGGGATAAAAGACGTAAAGTAGCCATAACCAGACTTGGCACAAGTGCTTCAGTATCAGTTTTCCACTACCCTCTTCCTGTAGTCTTACTTCCATACCCACTCCATGATACTTGTCTTAGTCAAATTTTAAACTCCACCTCCTTTTTATTTCCTTCAGGTGATTCTAGTCACAAGATTCCTATTTCAAACTTTGAATTTGGGCATGACCAAGCAACAGTGTTACAAAACCTTTATAGGTTTATTCATCCAAACCCAGGGAAGTGGCCACCTATCTACTGCAAGGTAATTTCTTTTAAGGCATTCACTTAGATATCAAAAGACCCAAAGAAAGAACTTTTGCCTTTATGTTAACTGTGTGTGTTAAAACGTGTTCATGGTGAATTGTTTTTAACCTAAGCAGGTGTAATGCCTTTTCTTCCAAATGTCTCTGACATTAGAGGGATTTTGAAGTCTGCAGAAACTGAACGTATTTCTACTTTGGCACGTCGCAATTGTTTAGTTTCTCCTTCTGCATTATCTTCACTATCTTTTTACCCTGAAGAGTAGTCTGTATATCTATCCTTCTAAGCAAGATTATCATTTACTCAAACCTGATTTGGCAGCCATTCCTTAATCGTCTTTTAGTCTTTTTTTTTTTTTAGTCTTAATCGTTTTTCTAGTCTTTAGAAAGACTTTATTTGTTATTTTGTCAAAATTCTTCTAGACTAGGAGTTGAAGAATTGAGTTTTAACCTTACTATTTATTAGTGTAACCATAAATAGATGATCTTTTTCTGAACATTAGTTTCTTCATTTGCCTACCGTAAGTCTCACTTGATTTTCACAAAGTATTCTAACATTGTTTTTCAATGTAACTGTTACTACTTATTTTGAACGGCAGCGGTCTTTTCTATGTATGTTCCTCTTTTTTATAGTTGTCTTAAATTCTTCAGTCTCCCCTTCCCTCTACCCCCACCTCCCAGACACCTCCTACCCCCGTTTGAAAAGAGAGCATTAATTTAACAGTACCTCAAGGTAGGAGAAAATACACGTCAATGTTTCTCTCTTCTCCAGTCTGACGATCGAGCCCGAGTTAACTGGTGCCTGAAATACATGGCCAAGGCGTCAGGTGAGTAGAGCTGGGTCTCTGCTCCCGGCCGTTGTTAAGTTTGCATTTGTTTCCATCTGGATGTCTGTATTCTGCACCCCTAAATTCACTAATTGTATGTGTTTTCTGTTTCCAATGGAAGACATCAGGCAGAATCTGGAGCTTCTCACGGTGGAGGACCTTCTGGTGGGGGTCTACCAGCAGAAGTTTCTCAAGGAGCCCTCTAAGACCTGGGTGCGGAGTCTCCTGGACGTGGCTATGTGGGATTATTCTAGCAACACAAGGCACGTGCGGGCTTTTGTGACAGTGGTTCTGACTTCTCTTCTGCACTGAGAAAATATGGTAGGATTAGTGTTTGCCTTTTTAGGCAGGATTTTTTTATGAAACCCTGGAATCACTGTATTTCTTTGAATATATGATTCCATTGATTGTAGGGTACATTGTTACTTTGTCTACCAGTAAAAACAAAAACCAAAAAATACCTACCAATTAAACTGACACAGTACTTGATCACTTAGGATTTCTATACTGATGAATATATTTAGACAGATGTTTTATTACATAGAATTCTTACTTATGTATAAGAAATATGTAAGTGAAATAAATTGGCAGAAGTATTTTTTATTTTGAAATGATTTCAGGCTTAGAGAAAAGTTGCAAGAATAGCACAAAAAAGGTTCTATATACCATTCCCTCATATTCCCTCATTGTTAACATTTCAATACATTTTCTTTATAACATTCTATCTAAATACATGTACCACTTGAGAATAAGTTGCTGTCATGATATCTTTTCACCCCTAAATATCGATGTGATTTTCCTAAGAACAAGAACATTTTTATATTACCACAATACAATTATCAAAACAGGATAGCGCCATTGATACAATACTGTTATCTAACATAAAGACCGTATTCACATTTTGCTAGTTGTTCCAATAATGTCTTTTATAGCAAAAAAACCCCAACAAATCTAGTCTAGGGTTCAACCGAGGATCCCATGTTGCATTTAGTTGTTACGTCTTTTTAGGTTCCTTTAACCTGGGTTAGGTCCTCAGTCTCACTTTCACGTTCATGGCCTTGACATGTTTGAAGAGCACGGGCCAGTTACTGCATAGAGTGTTTCCGTTTCAGTTTGCCTGTGTTTCTTCGTGATGAGGCTGTATTTTTTTGGCAGGAGTAACGCAAAAGTTCTGTCGTCTCCTGGCGTCCCATCTGGAGGTGTGTGCCAGTTGGTGTAGTTACTGAAGATTACTTTGACCCCTTGCTTAAGACAGTGACTGCCAGATTTCTCCATTGAGAAGTTTACATTTATCACCTTATAATTAATGTTTTGTGGGGAGATACTTTGAGATTTGGTAGATAATTCTATTCCTCAAACTTGAATCTGCTGGTTTTAGCACCTGTTGATGATTTTTGCTTGAATCTGTTATTGCTATATTTGTGAGATGGTCATTTTCTAATCCGATGGTTCCTTCTACATTTATTGGTTGGCATCCTTCTGTAAGGAAGAACTCTTCCTTTCACCCACTTGTTTTTTTTTTCGTTTATTTGTATGAGTACTAACGCATGGATTCCTGGTTCGTTCGGTAAGCTCTAACCTGTTACTGTCCACTTATTTTAGGCTCAGACTGTGCCATTCATGGCCAGTGGGAGGCCCTTCAGAGCGGTGGTTTCTGTGTCTTTTGGGCATTGCTGCTTCATTCTTGAGAGTGCTGCGCTCTCTGGCTCCATGTGCTCCAGGCTCGTCTCCACTCTCCCTGGTCCAGTTTTGTAGCAGCCGTTTCCCCAAGGAGCCCTGCCTGGTTCCGTTAGCTGGAGGAGAGGACTCAGGAGAACGGCTCTGGGTGCACTCATTCCTACTCGGGTACCGTTGATTCCGGTTCCCCATAGCGAGGAGAGCTTGGAAATATATTTATATACACACCCTCCACCTGCATTTTTATGTACCTAGGTCGGTCCGTCTCACCATGAGTTTGTACTGAACCTACAGTTCCAATCCACCGCCACCAAGGTCTCTATTTCCACTTTTCTATTTCTGTATTTCCCTTCTCTGAGTGAAAGACCTGGCACTCAGTATTTTTCTGTGTTTGTACAGCCCCAGAATACATTAAAAGTCGTTTCAGAATTGTTAAGTGATAGCACTGGAAATAGGCATCTTAACTGCAGCTCCGAATTTGCTTCAGTTGTTTTTTTAGGCTGAAGGTAAACAGTCAAAGTCGTTTGTTCAGAAGTTATTTGGGTTGGGTGTTCTTTCCTTCCCCTTCAGCGTGGTTAAAATACTCATTTGAAATGCAGGTAAGTCCATTTGGTAACTTTCCTACATATTCGCTTTTCCCATCCTTGTTGATTTTATCTTTTGAAAGTGTAATGCATTAACGTGGTTCAAATAAAAAATATGGTCAGAAGTATCACTCACTTCAGTGTAGTTCCATAAAAAAGTTCATTGGGTTTCATTAAATGTATAAATTAACTTGGAGAGAACTGAAATCTTTATGATCATTGAATTCTGTCCAAAGACGAGAGATGTCTTTTCATTCTAATCTACTTTTGGGTCTTTCAAGTCTGTTTTAAAAGTTTTCTCACACAGGTTATTCATATCTGGGCCTGGAGATTTTCTGTGGGGCAGTTCCCTGATCACTTTCTCTGTTTCTTCAAGGGAAATTTATTTTATTGGGTTGTCGGAAAAGTCATGACGCATTTTCGCAATGAAAAACAGAAAAAATACGTCAAGACTTTTTCAGCAACCCAGTACTAGGCTTTTTAACTCTAATGGGATCAGTTTTGGTCATCTGCACTTCATGAGGAAATACATTTTATGTAGGTTTCCAAATGTATTTGTTTGAAAGTCTACAAAGTAGGTACTGTCTTACAATTTTTAAAGTTTCTTTTGTTGTAATGGTTCTTATCATTTCCTGTATATTTGTGCTTTTCCTATTTTTCTTTAAATCAGAATAGCTTAGTGCATTGTCTATTTTGTTAATTTTTTTCCGAAAACAACAGAATTTTAATTTATTGGATCTGTTTTTCTATTCTCTTCATTAATTTTTGCTTTTATTTTCTTGGTATTCTGGTTCTTTTTCTAGTTTTTTGGGCTCAGAATTCAATTATTTTTAATTTACAAGTGTTTAGTAGAGTGAATTTCTTCTAAATATTGCTTTCAATGCAGCCTATAGATTGACATATTTTTTTGTCATTTAAAAAAATTTGTGTAGTTTCAACTTTTAACCCAGAAGTTCATGTAAGGCTTTTACATGCCCAGATGGAAAGGCCTTTCAGGTTTGGGTCAGTAAATTCTAGTGTTTGGCATTGTGGTTAGAGCTGCCTTAGTAGATCTTAGCATGCAGATGAGATCACATAGGCAGGTGATGAAGAGAAGAGGACCCAGCACAGAGTCCTCGTGAGCTCTGACGTTTTAAAACTGGGCAGAGGCTGACGGTTTGAGTCTCCGTACCTCTCAGCCTGTAGTTGCTCTCGTGTTACCCAAAGCATCATCGCCATCATCGGTGTTGATGAGGGTTGACGTGATGAGGAAAGCTGGGATCATGATGCAGGAAGTTCACAAATCTTGGTTGGGGACTTGGTGGTGGGGCAGGGATGTTGGTTTGCTTCTGCTCCCTGGATTGTCTCCTCTTCGGCTGTGAGTGTGGTCTTCCTGTCTTGATGTTTTTGGTATTGCAGGCTTTCCTTGAGTGTCCTTGGTTATGTTCCTATTTAGAAATGAGGCTGCAAATCCAAGTAAGTGTTCCATATTGTTCAGTGGGGGTTATCAACTGATTAGGCCTTGCTGTAGGGGAGGCAGACAGGGAGCCAGATGGGGCACTGAGGCAGGATTCTAAATGCTGGAAGGTTGAGGGCTTTGCCTTAGGGTCCCGGCATCCATTCCTCCTGCCTCTTCTCTGACTCGACTTCATCGCCTGGGGTCGGGACATTGACTGTTCTTTGTAAAGAAGTTCAGCCTCCTGTTCTCACCTCTGCCCTCTGGCCAGGGACAGTCCACTCGATCAGCGCCTCCAGAGTTCTGAGAGGCAGCCGTCCTCCCCCTGCTGCTGTGCGGCCTGTTCCCTGAGTCCTGCAGGCCGTGCAGGGGTCACCAGTGCCACTTCATTGACTTCCGGGATCCCACAGATTTGTTAAACTCTTTCATGGAGTCCTCTTCCTGTTTTCTTTTTTTGTGGACATCACTGTTTTTGTTCTTTCTCATTTTGATGGGGTCTTAGGAGCAAGAGGAGATAAATGTTGCATCTTGAACCAGAAGCCCCAGCAACAGTAGTTGTAAGAGCTGCATCACCTTAGCATTTTCTTAGTCCCGTTGAGTTTTTGACTCCTAACACATTTGAGTAGCTCTTGACATGAGGCACGAGACTGAGTTCTGTGGGAGATACAGCAACGAGCACCGTGAGGTCGTCACCCTGGGTCCTGTCTGGTAAGAGCAGCAAAGCCTGAGGACACGCGTAATGATTTCTCATAGCTCTTAACGTTTCAGAATTACGTAGATCAGATGAGGGAGAAATCACTTCGGCATAAGGGTTAAAATATATGAAATATTTGATGGAATAACTTAGCTGGTTCTTCTGGAATTTCTGCAAGCAGAGATTTGGAGTGAAGGGAAGACCTTTTCAAGAAAAGAAAAGGGCCTAAACAGCGAGTGACTCGGAGGAATGAAAGCGCAGAGACGGTTGCGGAAAAAGCAGTGAGTCTGACGGAGCATAGAGCTCTGTAGCTGTCAGATGACCGTGGTTCCTTAGATGTGGAGGCCGGGTTCTCCTTGAAGGAGGAAGAACCTTACCCCGGAACAGGAGGGGAGAACTGTACCTGCCTTTAAGCCACGTGTCACTCCATTAACGAGGTCACGTTGGAACTTGGGGAGTAGGTTGTGAATTGACTCAGAAGACATACTCACTTGTGACTTTACCTTATAACTTTGGAATGGAATTTCATAAAATATATATATATATTTGATATATGTTAAAGTTGGAGCTAGGTTTGTGTCTGCAAAGTGAATATTAATAGCTTAACAAAGCAGTTCTGGTTTTGGACAGATTTTTAGAGTGTATCTTCTTTTACTAGAAAATACACTCACAGTTTTAGGGGGATTGCTGGGATGATTTGGCGGAAGAGGATAAGTATTAGTAAAAACAGATCAAAACAGTATCATTTTTAACAGCACAGTTGACCCTTAAACAACATGGTTTGAACTGAGAGGGTCCATTTATATGCAGATTTTTTTCAGTGACTACTTGTGCTGTTTTTTTTTTGTTTGTTTGTTTGTTTTTAGCTGAGCCATCCTGCTACCTATTGGCAGCTTAGCGGCTGCTCAGCTCGGGCTGGCCTCGAACCGCTGTTGCTCAGAGCTCAAACTCTTGAGCGAGCTCTTAACCAACTGAGCCATTACTTGTGCTGTTTTTGATTCGTGGTTGGAAGTCGGTGGCCACGTAGGGCTGACTCCATGCATTGTTCTACACTATGTTATCATATACGGAACTCGAGCATCCATGGGCCTTGGGATCCACAGGGCGTGGGGCCTGGAACTGAAATTTATTGGGAGTTAAAAGTTATACATGGATTTCCAACTGCGTCGGGGGTCGGCACCCCTAACCCCTGCATTGCTCATGGGTCAGCTGTCTGTCGATTTGGAGTCATTTTTCCCTGGGATGAGATTTTTGTGTGGTTTTATTTTGTTGTTTGCTTATTTTTTTGGTTTGTTTCAATTCTGGAACACAATGTTAGTTGCTTGCATTTCAAATAAGATCGACAGTGGAAACGTACACGGAGGTGGCTACTCTTGGGGTTTAAGCTTTAGACAAGGAGCAAAACTAACTGGAAATGAAAATTACTGGATTCTTTGTGGGTATGTAAGAGCTTAGGTTTAATTTTAACCTAAGGTTTCATTTTAGAGTTGGAGTTTTATGAATCACATTTATTAAATCACTTTTTGGAAAAGCAGTGGGAAATTCTTAATCTTATTTTTAGATAGGGTTTCATTCAGCTAAATACCTTTCATTAAGTGCAGATAACTGCTTTTGTACACTTAACGGTTTAGCACATTTGTAGTTTTAAGTGAAGATTCTTGCTAAGTTCAGGCTGGCTTGGTATCATGCGCTCAGGGCTGTGCTGAGTGTCAGCAGACGGTGCAGTCCATGGGAAGCCACGCGGTCGCTCACGTGCCCTCAGCATCACGTGCTGAGGCCTCTCTCACACGCTCCCCAGGGATGCGTGCCCCGCCCCCAGTCTGCACCGTCACCCCCTCCGACTTTTCCTATCATTGTTCTCTTCTTTGTTTTTCCCTCCTTAGAGCGTGTCAGCATCTAACTTACTCTATTATCCGATGGATTTTTTTATCTGTCTTCCCCATCAGAAAGTAGTTTCATTGGCGAGGAGTTTCTGCGTTTCACCCAGTACCTAGAGCAGTGCTGGTAAATGCTTCCCAAGTGGGTGTGCGTTCACCGCGGCCACGTGGCCACTGATGGGTCTGCCACACTCAATTGTACTTGAAGGTAAAACTTACCTGTTAACTGTCAGGTGCGGTTGGCGTAGCACCATGAATTTACAGCAGAGGAGGCAACATAGAAAATCTGTTCTGTAAAAAAAAAATGTGTGTGTTAAATTAGAAACCCTAATCTTTGAGGATTAGTGTCAGTTTTTCTTAAATGATTTCAACTATGTAAGTTACATGCCTGGCATGTAAAAACCTTTGGTTACATCAGGACATTAAAGTCCTTTTTTTTTTACACAGGTGCAAGTGGCATGAAGTAAATGATATTCTCTTCTGCGCATTAGCTGTCTGCAAGAAAACCGCGTAAGTTGAAGAAAGGCGTCCCTTCTCATAATGCCACGTTGGTCACTGACGGCCTTCGTTTCGCCTGCTGTTGCTTTGGCAGTGGGGTGAATCACTGTTCACCTCTGTTCCCACAATTCTTTTAAAACACAGTGGGTTTTACTTCAATGTTACTTTTATTATTCTGCCCATGCCATGCTTGTTGGCATGTTACCACCTGAGCAGTTTGGGTGAACCTTCAGCACTTAATGAAATTTCCTTTGAGGCTCCTGTGGGAGAGCAAGGCCCCCGCCTGTCATTAGGACAGCGCGGCCCTGTGAAAGTGCTCAGACACGGGGGCCCTTTTCTCCTCGTGAGGCCTCGGGGTGCTGCTGGCCCCTTTCTGGCTGCTGACAGTTGGTTCTGAGGGACAGACAGGCGTTTTCACAGGTGTAGCCCTACTTCTAGTGCCGCCCCCTCCCTGCCTTAAACTTGTGAGAATTCTGATCATCTTTACCTTCATTTATATTCCCTGATAATAAACTTGAAATGTTACCTGGTAATCAGAGTATTAAGGGTTAAAAATACATGAAAATACTTGAGTAAAAATACCAGTGGCGACCAGTTTTATTTTGCATTGCCACCATTCCCATTGCTTCTGAGAACTGCTGAATTTCTTTTCCCCAGCGTGGAATAGTTTCTCTCACACGCCTTCCGTGTGAACTTTTTAGAGGATGAGTGCTTTTGGAATGACCTGGGTGGGGCCTGGTAACGAGCCTCCTGTCCTCCCTCTTGAAGGTACTGCATCAGCAATTCTCTGGCCACTCACTTCGGCATCCAGCTCACCGAGGCTCACGTGCCTCTCCAGGATTACGAGGCCAGCAGCAGTGTGACACCCAAGATGGTGGTGTTGGATGCAGGCCGTTACCAGGTAAGGAGCTGTCTGCGCTCTGCTGGCCTCATCTCAGGGCCTTCTCAGTGTGGTCCCGGCCAGCAGCCGCAGCCACCAGGCCTCTGCTTGGTTCTCCCTCTTCCCTTAAACGGTTTCTGAAGATCCTCCTGGAATGTCAGTTCTTAATCCAGGTGGAGGTTGCATGAAGCCCTTTTCCTTCCTGGTAGGTTTTCCCACTATATTTAACAAAGTTTTAAGGAAACTATAATTGGCAATTAGTCTTCATACAAAACGCATCCAGGCGTTGATTCCAAAAAATATATATCTGAATGTAGATAACGTAACTATTGAAAATATCTGTTTCGGAAATGCATGAGATGTAGTTCAGGGTTTGATTAAAAGCTGCCTGAGCCCCCTGCCACCCTCACTGCCGCAGTCAGAGGAGCGGCTGTCCAGCGGGGCTTCCTGAGGTTCCTTCCCGGCTCTGCTCCAGCCCCCGTAACGCTGCCCCCCCACAGCGTTCACCTTTAAAAATGGATCAGACGTTGGAAAACTGGGAGGTAATTTGTAGTTTTTAAAAAGTAATTTGAAATGTAGTAGATGATCCAATAATTAGTAAGAAATAAGCATTTTCCCCCATTTTTTTCTTTCTGTTACTTATAGAAGCTAAGGTTTGAGAGTCCAGGATTCTCTCTTTTCAACTCTTCTAATGAGGAACAAAGATCAAACCCACATGCTGGTAAGCGTCTTACATTTTGTAAGAAGGCACGTCACAGAGATTAGGGGTTACAGCCTAGTAAGATCTCAGGGTGTGGTACTTAAACGGACGGACGCTCCTCATTAGCTTTCAGATGTCAGGATCTCATTGAGCGGGGATCAATAAGACTTTTATTTGGCATCACCACCTTAAACAATGTGTATGTGTACTTTTTTGTATCACTTTGATACAGTTGAACTTATTCTTCAGACTTGTTCAGAGAATTGGAATAAAAACTGTTATTCTTGTAGCAGCTATAGTTTTACAGTTTTGATGTGCTGATGTCTTTCGGGATGTGGGCGTTTAAAAGCTAGTGACGTGAAATCCCAGTGCTGCCTGAAGAACCTCAGGCACAGCTTCCAGGGCTAAAGACGGGAAGAAGTATTCTCGGTCAGCCTTTGCCTTGACGAGAATCTCTCCTTGAGCTCTTCGTGGGAGGCGTCAAGTGGCTACATTGCTTTTCTTGCATTTTCAATGTCTTAGGTGACTACCCATCTGGGGTGAAGACATCTGGCCAAAGCAGGAGTGTCCGGGGAAGAGGGATCACGCGCCTGCTAGAGAGCATCTCCAGCTGCCCCGGCAGCGTCCACAGATTCTCCAGCTGCGACACCGCATGCCCCCCTCACGTGTCCCCAAAAGATGGGTACAGATCTTTCTCCTCCTTGTCTTAATGATGGTACTTTTTCAATTTCTGGAAACATAACAGGCCCCTCTGCCCTCCTGACTGCGTCATATGAAACACACAGATCACACGAGTGATAAATGTCACTGCTATACAAACCGCTTCATTTGTAAGGAAATCCTGTTTTGTAGATTAAAAGTAATTGTGGTTGGAGAAGATTTTGGCATTTTTGGCTTTTTTTTCCTGGAGGGCTTGTTCTGCTTCCTGACTGTATAATAGGGATGCCTTTCAAGTCTTGAGTCCTGTAAGATCAACACTGTCATTTTCAGAGTTGTGCTTTTGGGATTGTTATATTTTGATAATCTTTTCCTCCACAATAAAGGTATAGAATATCTGTTATGAAAGGTTTTTAAATGGTGTTTATTTCTCCCCATTATGACATACAGAACCTTTCTCTTGAGACATGCAGGCTATTTTCATTGCAAGTATCTAAGAAAATTAGCCTTTAACAAAAAATAAAGTTTTGTTGTTACTTAAAGTCTTTGAAATATGCTGACTTTGAGATGAACCGAGCGAAAAAGAAAGAAGGCACGAACCATAATAGGAATTAAGAGGGGCACAGACCCGGAGCAGCAGAGGTTAGAGAGAGGAAATAATACTATGGGCAGTCCTGCCAATAACTTTGGAACTTAGATGGACTGGAAACCAATTCCTAGGAAAATATAATTTACTAGAAGTGCCTCAAGAAGAATCAGAGAGACTGCCCGTCCTGTGGTGGAGAGATTGAAGCATTAATTTCCAAATGCCTGGGCCACATGGTTTTAACATGTGAATTCTGAACTTGCAGGGAATACACCATGCCAATATAAAAGAATATATAATAGGCTGTGTCCAAACTGGTGGTGTTCAGGAGAGAACCAGGGGGAGAGGTGCAGCATTAGAAAAATCCATAAATGGCATTCGTCACAGTAATAGAGTGAAGGGAGAAAAGCACGTATCTTTAGACTGGATGGAGAAAGAAGCATTTGACAAAATTCAGCACCCATTAGTGATAAAAACCGCAAGCAAACTAGAAATAGAATTGGAACTCCCTTAGCCTGATGAAAAGCACCTATGAAAATTCTACAGCAAATACTATTTTGAATGGGGGAGCTTTAAAAATATTTCCTTTAAAATCAGGAACAAGACCAAAACAAACAAAAAAAGGCCCTCGGTTACTGCTTTTATTCAACACTGTACAGGAATTCCTAGCAAGTACAATTTTAAAAAGTATCAAAGCACAAGATTTGGAATGGAATAAATTGTCATTTTTCACAGTTATGGTTGTCTACAATATACACGCTCAAAAGAATCTTCAGATAAGTAGAAATAATGAAAGTTTGGCTATAAAATTGATAGAATATCAAATGCGTTTCTGTACATCAGCAACAAATGGTTTAGAAAACGATTTTAAAAAGAAAAAAAAAGCCCAGTATTAATAGTAGCAAAAAACTTGAGGTTCCTAGGAATAAATCTGACAAACTTATGAGATGGATAAGCAGAAAATTCTAAGACTTTGGTGAAAAAACATTAATAAAGACCTAAATAGAGATGCCTATAATATTGGAAAGATTTATTGTAAAGATTTCAATTCTCCCTGGACTGATCTGTAGTTTGAATACAATTTTAATTAAAATCCCAAATTTTTGTGGGACTTGACAAGCTAATTCTGGGAAGAATCAAGGCAAAGAAAAGCCAGTACGCTCATATCAAAGTGAGATGGGACTTCCATCATTCCATAAGATCTTCCATTTTATTATAAAGCCCATGTTGATCATTGAGATTGTGAGATTCTGAAGTCAGGATAGACAAATGAACAGAATCAAAAGACCCATGCAGGGCCGGCCGAGTGGCACAATGGTTAAGAGCTGGCTTGGGATGCTGGAGGGCCCCGGTTCGGATCCCACATGTGAGGGCCAGTAACACTGCCCTCTACAGCTAAGATGCTGAACAGCAGTTCAACCTGGAGCTGGGCTGCCGTGAGTCCCCGGCAACGGCATAGGCTGCAGCCCCTGTGGCAGTGGATTGCCATGGGCTACCGTGTGTGGCCAGCAGCCAGCGTGAGCGGCCAGCAGCCGCAGTGAGCGGCCGTCCAGAAG